CTATAAAAGTTGAAAATTTTGACTTTCGTTCACTCTGCAAACTCTTGGAAAGTGTTATTTAAGAAGCCTAGATATGCCGTATGTAAGAATAAACGCCACTCTCTAACAGACGCCTTTATCTAATAAACGGATCATTTACGGTACTTTGTGCCATGAGAGTTGATCATCAGATTTATAATTTCATGTCCTGTAGATACTAAATATGCACACAAAAGAAAATAAATAACATTGACTGAAACCTGATCATAAAACACCGGCCATGAGTTCTAACTCTTCAATGATGGTTACGGTTCAGGGTTGTTTAATGCTCAGGCTTCAGTCAATGTTATTTATTTCCCTTTCATTTGCATATTTAGCATCTACACGACATGAAATTATAACCATCATCAATGACCTGCACTTGGGTTAACTCGCTGATCTCAAACCTAGCGCTGGATAGTGCATCCTCTATGCAGAAATAAAGGCAATGTCGGCCATATTGATGTGAGCAGCACAAATCTACTGTGGTGTTGATGACATAGTGTAAGAGGTTCTTACAGTTTCTAGTTATCGCTGAGAAAGGATAAACATTGTCTGAATAGAAATTTATCAACAGTCGTCTCTCTTGCCCCTTAAGTTTGCGCGTGAATAACTGATGTCACACCAAGATGGCTGCCACAAGTCTCATTATCTAGTGTTTAAAACGTTCTAAAACTCATTAGAAGAAATATGGGAAGCTAAATTTTTTAAGTGACATTGGAAAAGACATTTGCTTCATAATGTTGCTAATTTAAACATGTCGTGATCCGATTTGCAGAGATTTTGACAGACTTTAAGATCTCATCTCATTATAAATATTCTGACTTCAAAATTGGTTTATTGAATACAAAAGGAACTCTATCCAGTGTTTTGAGATCAGTGGGTTAACTGTACTGTGAAGCGTATTGTGTTTCCACTTTATATACAACTTGTATAATTTCTATGTAAATATTGTATGTATAAATTACTTTTCTACGGAAGCCGTGAAGGGACTTCAGACTTCAGACTTCGGACTTCAGAGTTCAGACTTCAGACTTCAAACATTGGTTCCGAGCTTCGCTAATAGCCAACATTGCTTCTGCAAAGCTGGCTAATATTTAAGGCACATATTCAGTCAGAGCTATTCAAACTAAAGTCAAAAATGGTCAGAATGATTTAGATTGCAAATGCAGACTGTTGGAATGTGTCAGTGAGTTCTGAAAGTTCTTTGCAGGTTTAAAGGCAGAACGATAAAACATATAATACTATTGTTTGTAGAAACACCACATAAATTTATTACTGCAGTAAATTTATTAACTTTATTCTGTAAATTTATCAAGTTAAGTATAACACGCGCTCAAAACTAATGCGTATAATATACCACTTGAGGTTATGACTAAATTCAAAATTTTTATTTTTCGAAACGTTTCTCAATCGGCAACAAACTTAAAAAGTATGTTTAGTGCTTTATCTGTAAAATAATGCTAAATTGAAAAGATTTTAGACTACGCCAAAGAGAAAATTATGTAGTGAAGTTCAGTAAGTTTTGCTTATATTGCTCAGCTTAAATATGGCGTCAATTTTAAAGCATCATTGATAATTGTATTTTAATTGACAATTTTTAACTATGATTTTATGTTTCTCAACCGGCAGATGCATTTAAAAAGGTAGCTAACTGTATAAAGTAAAGAATAAAGCAAAAACAAAGTGATTCTAAGAGGAGGAACGCAAAAGCAATGTTGGCTATTAGCGAAGCTCGGAACCAATGTCTGAAGTCTGAAGTCCGAAGTCTGAAGTCTGAAGTCTGAACTCCGAAGTCTGAAGTCTGAACTCCGAAGTCTGAAGTCCAAAGTCTGATTGTCAAACATTGGCTCCGAGCTTCGCTAATAGCCAACATTGCTTTTAGTGCGTTCCTCCTCTTAGAATCACTTTGTTACTCTTTGTTTTTGCTTTATTCTTTAGTTTATACAGTTAGCTACCTTTTTAAATGCATCTGCCGGTTGAGAAACATAAAATCA